TATATATATTCGATAATGCAGCTTTTACAGTTAAAGGCAACAGTTTCGAGAGCTAAATACCAGACATAATTTGAATTTTATTTTTTTGCATCAGCTTTACTGATTTTACGATCAATATATTTATCATATATATATCATATATATTTATCATATATCATTTCACGATCATATATATTTATATAATTTATCAATTGACTCATGAATAATAAATCACGATAAGATGCTTTAATAGCTTCCGATAATAATACACTCCAGCAATAAAAATTACACAATCTTCTTAATGACTTCTTCTCTTTGTTCCTTGCCTTGAAAAGTTTTTTGTTATTGCCAGGTTATTTATCTTTTTAACACCTAAGAGAGCTGGAAGCAATTCACTGCACCAATCTCAGGCATCAGCGATGAATGGTAGTCAATTTATGTAGAATCACGTGCCTTTGCGATTTAAAAAAAACGAAAATACGAAGTTGTAATATAACTTCTTAAATATTTATCTTATCGATTTTTATTTTATATGATTCAATTCAGCATGAAATACATTCCATCGGAATATGAAACCTTACATGCTCATGTTGCCTCTAGATACCAATATAAAATTTGTACATAAATAGGAGAAAAAAAATACTTTTTATACATAAACACTCTTGTAATTTTTGATTTTTCTGTTCTATTTACTCGTATTTAGGCTCGTTCAATTCTGCGTGAAAAAATATGTAGTTTGCATGAGCAGGGACAAATACCAATGGTACTTTTTGTATAGAAATTACTTACAATTTCTAAACTGTTAATCTCATGAACTGTGGTGGCACAGGAGATGGAGCATCCGCCTCAGTGAGGTGAACCGGGTTCCTATCCCACGATGGCTGGTCGATACGAATTCAGCTCCCGGCTCTCACTAACCATAGTGCAGACGTAAAATATCATCTCGGATCAAGGGCGGAGCCCCCTAGACGTCAGACTAACCAAGGGAGTTTTTCGTGGTTTATCTCTCTGTGTAATGCAAATGCGGTTTAGTTCCATAAGAAAGTCCTGCACGAAAGTAAAATCTCTCCCAATACTTGATACTGGAATTTCCTTGTTTTCTGGATTGGGTTCAAAATTACAAGGCTACGGAGTTGAACATTGGTAGTCGTAAACACAAAAATTGAGACGTTTGCTCAACGACGGTAATAAAATAAGATAAAATCCGATTGGCTTCATTCAAGAAAGCGTAAAAAAATACATAGGAAACAATGTTTCACTTGCCTGGCTCTTTCCTCCTCAAACCACTACCATTTCCTTCCAAAAAGTGGAAAGTGCGCAGAGAAGAGTAGAGGTGTTTTTAAGCATCAATTCTAACAATATAACATAGATTTTTAGAAAGAAAAAAAAACTTTTCTTTTAATATCCCCCCCCCAGCCNCCCCCCCCCCCCCAAAAAAAAAGTCTGTTTTTATAAGGCAGTACGTGACATTTTGAAAAGTTACCCTGGAAAATGTTTATTTTGGTCTTGTTTATTCTACGACATTAATTTATTTCTCCAAGTCTTTTAATATCGAAGATCTCTGTGGTTGAAATATTCAAGTGACAATCTCCGAGTGATTTTAGAGCGGAAGAGTTCATATGGAACTATATTTATACAGAAATAAATTATCGACAAGCAATCTTAGTCAATTAAAATGCCAAGTATGCGAATAAGTAGATTTCACAAAATCAAATATTTATGCGCTCACTACAAAGACATAGTTGTTGTTGTAGTTCATTTACGTCACACTAGAGCTGCACAATGGGCTATTGGCGACGGTCTGGGAAACATCCCTGAGGATTATCCGAAGACATGCCATCACAATTTTGATTCTCTGCAGAGGGGATGGCACCTCCGTTTCGGTAGCCCGACGACCTGCACGTGAAGTCGAGCACTTTACTGTAGAACAGTTTAACGAGGACCAATACCGAACACCCTCGGTTCCTACGCAGACTGTTTCAAGTGGTCACCCACCCGCACTCTGACCACAGCCATACAAAGGCATAGATAGATATCGTTGATCACATCTTAGACTAATTTTACGATCGATTGCTGTATGGTGACAGGATCATAAAAACCTCAAACTCAAAAAGCGTTCTCTTTTCCCTGTCCTCTTTATTAGCTTGATCTCTATTCAAAAGATTTTAAATCGTTAAATTTGAGATTATCACCTTCAATATTTGGTAAAATCTTTCTGAATGCCATCTGCTTACTAGTTTATTTAAAAAATAGCGAATCGTTAAATTCGAGATTATATCCCTGAATATTTAGTAGAACTTTTTTTAGTGCCACCTCTCTACTAGTTTATTCTCTATAAAAGATCGAATCCCAACCCATTTTGACCTAGCGTCATAGGAATTGTGAGAATTCTTCTGATTTGAAAAAAAAAACTATTTCAACATCAAGCAAATGTTTCTTATTATTTTCAAAAACCAAGTAATAGCTAACGGAAGAAAATATAGTCATTTACTTAAAATAAAATAATCACTTTTTATAGGAGCTTTTTTGTGCCATGGTATTTAAAAAAAACAGGTTTCAATCGGAAATTATCTCCTTGAAAAGTTAGAAAATTCTTCTTTAATGCCATTTAACGCCAAAACGGAATTTTAAATATTTCGAACTGAAAAAAGAATATTCTATTCAGATTAAAAGCATTATGCAGTTATAACTTAAGATAAGTAAACAATAGGGTTCAAAAACCGTGAATATTTTTAATGAAAATTAATTTAATTATTATCACGATGATATCTAACTTATTAACTTATTTCTTTTCAGTGGTATGGCTGTTCACAACGGCAATGTTTCATTTATTCAAAAAAGAAACATTATTTGCTGTTTGGCTTGGGTTTACACCTTTCATAAATCTGAACAAACCAGAAGCTGTTGAGGTAATGCTTACAGTTGCAGGGAGGTATGAATTTGTGAAATATCTATTGAAATGAAACAAAGCTAGAATTTCAAAGCTTTGTCTAAATCAAGAGATGGGTAAAAATTTCGAGCCATTGTGTTTGCGAGCTTAAGCCTTGCACTTTTAATTTATTAAATTGTAAGAAAAATTTAACTGCTGAATATGTTTGTTTGGCCCATTCGTTAAGGCATTTGCCTTCCACCTGTTTAGTTCTAGGTTCTATCATACCTGGTTATAGTTTACCTAATTATCTTTTTTTAACTAAAGTTGGTTTTAATATAAAATTTTTAAAAAAATATTTTTTAAATAAATTTATACGGTTGGTTTTATTTCAATAACAATTTCACGGAATAATACTCTTTTCGTTAAAGATCTAATAGGCAATTTATGCCTAAGATTAAGATTAAACTATGCTTTCTGGAAGGAAGAAATTGCGTATGATTTCTGATCGATTGCGAAACATTTTAAATGATAAGATCACTTCCTCGAGAAACTTTTCTAGATTTTGATTAAAAAAAAATTTCTTTTATTTAAATGTGACTATTTTTACTTCATTGATGTCAATTTCGCATCGCATTCAAATCTGGCATAATAGATTTGTCTACAACGCTTCGGCGATGATCTTAAAGCCCGTAAAATGATTTCGTGGGGGATTTTCTTCACCTCTTCTCTAATAGCTCTTTGAAGGCCTCTCAATGTAGAAATTCTTCGCTTATTCAGTTTGTTTTTCAGATGTCCCCATAAGAAATACTGGCACGGTGCAGCATCAGGACTGTTTGGAATCCATTGCTCTGGTCTCAGGAATTGCACTTGCTGATCTGCTATGAATTTCTGGGTGACCTTAGATGCATGCGATGGATTCCTGATGGAATACAGCATCACCATTAGGGTACAATCTGCAGTATAATCCTTAAGAAAGGGCTTTAATATCTCAGAATATATTTTGGTCCCAGGTTTCACAAACCGAGATTTGGTCACACCATGGGTGGATATGCCCATCCAAACCATTACGCCTTTGGGATGAGGCACCATGGTTGATGGTGTCAAGTCTCGCCTGTTCTGCCTACTGCTAAGATATTGAACTTTAGATTTAGCATTAGTATCAGATAGATAGATCCAAGCTTCATCAGTTGTAATGAACTTTAATCATCTGTCCTTACGGAGAAGCTTGTAGAGGGACCATGAACGTTGCCTCCTAATCTGCACCCATCTCTCACTTAAATGATGACATTTAGGTTCTTTATGGCATTTTTTCTTCAACTTTTGTTTTAGTTGATAGCTTACAACTTTCTGACTCACGTTAAGAGCTCTAGTCATGCTTGCCTGTGTTGGTGGATCTGGTTTTGATGTCATCTTATTAAGCTTCTGCAAATCTGATTTTTTTCAATTTGTTTGGCCGTCCACTTCTTTTTGGTTTTGCATTATTTTACATCGATCCGAGTTTTGAATTCTTGATGCGACTGACATGGCTGAGTGAAATCACAATACATTTCTTTTTTAAATTGGTTAGTATAATCTTGTGGCTCCATCGAAGTTCTAAAAATGCTTGTACTTGACCAATTAGCTTTTTGTCAAATTTCTTCAAAGACATTTTTGCGATTTTATGAAATAGTATTGCAATTGAAAGTCTAATAGCAGAGCTTTAGATCAGTATGCTATATATGTGAAAAGGTTTTAAAACTTTAGTGGTAGATAACCACAAAAGTGATCCCTATACTTTTTTGTTACCCTGTAGTTAATGTACGTCGCACTAGAGATGCACAATGGGCTATTGGCGACGGTCTGGGAAACATCCTTGAGGATGATCCGAAGACAAGGCATCACAATTTTGATCCTCTGCAGAGAGGATGGCTCCCCTGCTTCGGCAGCCCGACGACCTGCACACGAAGTAGTGCACTTTACGGTAGAACAGTTTAACGAGGACCCATACAGCGCACCCTCGCTCCCTACGCAGACTGATCCAAGTGGTCACCCACCCGCACACTGACCGCAGCCTGTGATGCTTGATTTCGGTGATCTGCTGGGAGCCGTGTCTTTACGATCAGTTCACTGCGGGATTTTTGCAGGTGTGAAAAAAAAGACATGTTGACCAACTTTAACTGTATCTGGTGTAACTTAACTGTATCTGGTTAACTCTGCTGTAACGGTGTAACCTAACTAATGTTACCACCAGCTGCAATTCTTAATTTTTCCCCATACCTCTCATCAGGAGATATTTTATATAGAGTTTTTCTAGACTAGTAGGACAATTCAGAACAATTTGATAGCGACTATAGCGAGCCCTTTCCGAAATTTTGACATGCGGACACATAGCCCATTTCGAAGGATCGTAGAAGTGGAGTTAAATATTTTGCAATATAATTCAGCCAAAAAAAAGTGTGTGAAGTTTTATTTTTCGAAGAGTTTTGAATGAATAAAATAAGCTCAAGATCATTCAGGTCAATACATAAACTATCCGACTTTCGTCAAACAGCGGAAATATTTTCATAGCTTCATTAAAAAGTCTCTAAAACTACAAAAACAATTGTTTCTATTAAATTAAAATTAAACGCTTTTTGAAACAATGTACACGCTTTATTTAATTCATTAACTACCTTTACAGACTGATTTTATTTACTGTGGAATTTATTTTTTATTACTATTATTAGTTTATGATTTTCAATGTTATGATATTAATTATAAATAATAAATTTCTTTTTTAAAATGTTAAAATCGTAGGAAGTTTTAAGTGGAACAAAAGCGAATGAAAAGTCTTGGATTTATGATTTTGTGCATTGCTGGTTAGGAACAGGTCTTTTAACTAGGTAACTGTCTAGTATATTAATATTATATACAGGGTAACAAAAAAATATAGGGATCATTTTTGAATGTTTTTATTTTCAAAATTTATTACATAAATTCAGCGATGCTACTCAATATGTCGACCTCATGCATAATAGATTTGTCTACAATGCTGCGCCATGATTTTAAAGCCCGCAGAATGATTTCCTGGGGTTTTTTCTTCACCTCTTCTCTAATAGCTCTTTAAAGGCCTCTCAATGTAAAAATTCTTCGCTTATTCAGTTTGTTTTTCAGATGTCCCCATAGGAAATAGTCGAATGGTGCAGCATCAGGACTGTTTGGAATCCATTGTTCTGGTCTGAGGAATTGCACTTGTTGATCTGTTAGGAATTTCTGGTTGACCTTAGATGCATGCGATGGGGCAGAGTCCTGATGGAACACAACATTACCATTAGGGCACAATCTGCAGTAATCATCCTTAAGAAAGGGCTTTAATATCTTCTGTATGTAATACTCAGAATTTATTTTGCCCCCAGGTTTCACAAACCAAGGTTTGGTCACACCATAGGCGGATATACCCATCCAAACCATTACGCCTTTGGGATGAGGCACCGTGGCTGATGGTGTCAAGTCTCGCTTGTTCTACCCACGACTAAGATATTGAACTTTAGATTTAGCATTGGTATCAGATAGATGGATCCAAGCTTCATCAGTTGTAATGAACTTTCGCCATCTGTCCTTACGGAGAAGCTTGTAGAGGGGCTATAAGCGATGCCTCCTAATCTGCACCGATCTCCCACTTAAATGATGATATTTAGGTTTTTTATGGCCTCTTTTCTTCAACTTTTGCTTTAGTTGATAGCTTACAACTTGCTGGCTCACGTTAAGAGCTTTAGTCATGCTTGCCTGTGTTGGTGGATCCGGTTTTGATGTCATCTCATCAAGCTTCTGCAAATCTGATTTCTTTGCTTGGCCGTCCACTTCTTTTTGGTTTTGCATTACTTTGCATCGATCCGAGTTTTGAATTCTTGATGCGACTGATATGGCTGAGTGAAATTGTAATACCTTTCTTTTTAAAATGGGTTTGTATAATCTTGTGGGTCCATCGAAGTTCTAAAAATGCTTGTACTTTGCCAATTAGCTTTTTGTCAAATTTCTTCAAAGGCATTTTTGTGATTTTATGAAATAGTATTGCAATTGAAAGTCTAATAGCAGAGCTTTAGATCAGTATGCTATATATGTAAAAAGGTTTCAAAACTTTAGTGGTAGATAACCACAAAAGTGATCCTTATACTTTTTTGTTACCTTGTATTTATAACTTCTCATATTAATATAACCCATGCGGAGAGTTCTCGGAAAACCTCCCTGAATATATAACTAACAATATTTGTAAAATATGAATACATAGTAACCCATATAATAAAAATTATTACAACAGAATTGATAATTAAGTGAATTTTTCTACACTTTTTCTATAAAGGAAAAAAAAAATAAATGGCAATTTGAGTTAAGCAAGTTTTAATGCTCCGAGGAATAATTTCTTCAAGGAAAATATTATCTTCACTTATTTAAGGATGCGAATTTCGCCAAAAGCAATACTATTAATGCGGCATTCAAACCATGCATATTATATTGTTAAAAACAAGTATTAAAAAAGTATAAAGACAAGTATTAAAAAAAGTATAATCGTATCAAAAATTTAATATCTTAAAATTAGAAAAATCCATCTTAAAATTAATCGTATAATAAGCATATTTGAGAACTTTTTCCAAACAGAATGAATTCGTAAATCTTTATGAGCCTAAAAATACAAAATTGAAGTAATTTTTCAATTGTGTGAAAATTAGATCAAAAATTGGAAAGCAGAAGTTATTCTTTTTCACAAAACAGTGACTTTTCTCCATGATGTTGCTCTGTGCTATTTTCATTATTTCCTTATGTCTCATTTGAAAAAGTTTCGTAGATGGTGTTGGTTAAAAATATATAAAACTAAACCACACTGACAAGAATTTCTTTTCCACCCAGAACAGATATTTTTTTTCTCCAATGCCCACCTGGGTTGACATTTCGTGAATTCAGGTGTATATAAGATAAAGTTGAATGACAAGGAATTTAATTAATATGCAATACAGTAAATAAGCGAAGAGATATTTTATAAAAGCATTTAATGAAAAATAATAACATCGAAATATATGTTTTTGCGAAGCGTTCTATTTACATATCTGAATGTTGCCACCTTTTTATATGAAAGTTAAACTATTCTCTGCTGTAATAAAATTAAACTTATGCGAACCTTACATGTATTATGACAGATTTCTGGGCTACTATTTCAGGGGCACCTTATTAGGTGGGTCAACGTTGCACCCACAGTAAGGACAGATAGTACAGAAAATGAAAGAATATCCATGCGCCTTGTCCAGGATTCGAACCCAGAACCTTTTTGATGCAAAGTCAGTTCCGTGACTCTTACACAATCGCTTCTCACACTATTGTATTGATATATTTTGGTTTGGCTATTTTGATACAATATTAAAAAGCACTCCTTTTTATGGCTATAATCGCGTGAGTTGATGAAGATATTATATCTTTTTTCCCCCAGATTTTTATAATTTTTCTTAAAATTTTTTTTTCGCTTTTTTCATTATTCTGTAATTTTCCCATGTTTTCTATACATTTTGAACTTTTTTTTCTATGAGTTCTATATACTTATAGCTTATGCGCAGTAAATGAAACTTATTGATTTTCTTAATTTTCTTCGTTTTTTTATTTTTTTCGCTTCGTCCTTTTTGTATTTATTTTCAACATGATATTTACTTTTTAATTGGAAGATTATCATAAAATATCTCCTTTCTTACTCTATTTTTTTTAAATTATTATTTTGTTACAAACTAAAAAAAATATTCTCCGAAGTAAATAATCACGTGCTAAAATTCATTCATTTCTCTAATTTTTTTACACTAATTTTGTATTTTATTTCAGTTACGGTGAGAAATGGAAATCAAGACGAAAGTTGTTGACACCAGCGTTTCATTTTGAAATTCTGAAAGATTTCTTACCAGTTATCAATGAAAAATCGATGCTTTTGGTAAAAATATTCGAAAAAGAGGTTTACAAGGACTACACGAGTATTTTGCCGCCAATAACACTTTGCAGTTTGGATATAATTTGCGGTGAGAAAAATACACAAGGTGACACTACGAAATGAATAAAGTAAAATTACTTTAACAAAGCACAATGATGGGTACAGAAATGGACAGCAGATTTTTGCCCATTTCTTTACCTTTATTTGATTTATTCACGTTGTTTTGTTTTATTTATGCAAAGTGCAAAATATACCTTATACTTACTTGAATTCCCTGCTAAATGTTTAAATTTAATTTCAAGATTTAATTTATTTTATGTTTTAAAAAAGACCATTATAAAAGATCTTAGGAATAAAATATTGTTATTAATAATATCTTAATGATTTGATATATTCTACACGTCTTTCTTAGCTCCAACAAGAGCTAAATCCTGGAGATTGGTTTTCAAGAGATGATCCTCCCTTACACTTGAAGTTTAAAATTGAAATGTTTCGTTATGATATGTCCTGATCTTTGTTCTTTCTATATATCTCATAAGTGTTTTTTGATGATAAGTTATCCTTAAAAACTATATCTGTTCCATTATCGGAATATGAATTCAATACCCAATTTAAATTTCAATTGCGAATTCTGCGTCTAACCATGATTCGCAGTGTAATTTAATTGGATACTTGCGAGTGACGTCACGCGTGTCTGACGAACCTGATTGGCTCCTGAATCGACAAATGTTATGTTATACCTACGATGGCATCATTGTAGGTATAACTAGAGCCCCTGAATTAGACTATAGTAGCCTTAGGTATAACATAACATTTGTCGATTCAGGAGCCAATCAGGTTCGTCAAACACGAGTGATGTCACTTACAGGTATCCAATTAAATCTTATTTACATCATATAATAAGGCATAATCACGTCACTTTTTCTCCTGTTGCAAGTACTCAATTACGGTTTTTAGTGCTGTCTGATTACGACTTCAATATTCGATTAGTTTTCAGTTTATACAGAGTGATTTATATTTTTAGTGTTTCCTGGTATGCATCGTGATTTTAGAAAACAGCAAACATCATGGTGTTCTTGAAGAAATTTTATGACATAAAAAAGATAAATGACTTAAAATTATTATTACTTGCTACTCCAGTATTAATGATAAACATGATTACATCTGTAACCGCTTACAACAAATTTTCATGACATAAAAAGACAAATGACGTAATATTATTATTAAAATTATTATTGCTAGTTACTGCTGCTTTAATGATAAACAAGATGACATACATCCAAAATTATCTATTTTTTAAAATCTTATTTTACTTTTTATGTTTTAGAAACAACGCTTGGTATTAACTTAAATTGCCAAGAAAATAAAGATTCAGAGTATGTCCAGGCAGTTAAAAAGTAAGTTTTTAATTTTTCCTCATATTAATAATGATAATATTTACATTTAAACATGGTTTTATATACAAACAAGGTGTTTAAAGACAAGTCCTTTGCGGTAGATTAATTTGCTGTAGTAGTCTGCAAGTCTAAAGAAATTTTAATGTAATTTTTAAAGAAAAAATTTTTTGGAATAAAAGAGTGCAGAATTTTCCTGCGCTTATACTTGAATAAACACGATTGTTTAAAGTAAAAAAGTAAAGGTCTGAATATTTTTACCCAGATAAAATTAGTTGCTTAAGTAAGGAAAATAACTGTCGTGATTTTAGTTCCTTTAAAAAATAGTTAACTGAACTTTAAAATCTAACATAAATTGATCCCTAAAAATAAAATTACAAATATTTTTAACTATTTGCTTTCGTCTCCTTGCATATAATGCATAATAATGTATAATTTTACTCCATATGCAAAATATAGGGGACTTTGTCCTCAGCTTCAATAACCAATTTCTGCGACTCGGAATATTTTTGACTGCTTGACGGCAAAATGCAAGATTGAAATTAAAAATTATTCTTATAATATGTCCTAAAAACTTGAGAGAATTATTTAGAACAAATTTTAGAGCATATATGGAACCCCTGATTTATGTCCTGATTCAATTGAAATATAGTTTACACCATAGTTATTCTTAGTAAAAATTTCAAAATCATCCTCAAAATTTTCTTTTTTGATTCTCATCTAATTTTTGGTAACTAAAAGCACACGTTAAATACTTTTTGCTAAAGAGATTGCATAGCGATAGCGAGAAAAGAAAAGTCTTATAGCTATTCTAAGTTGTTATTTTGTATTAATTAACTTTATAAAAGTACGTATAATTTTTAAAGTATGCCTCAACAATTGATATTAAACGTTTACCAAATATTTTTGTAATAAAATTTTTTACATTTTATAATAACATATGCGATCACTTTATTTTATGTTAGTTATGTTAGAACAAACAATTTCATTTTTAAGCATTTAATTTCGAGTAACTAAAATAAAATTAAGAAGAAAACAATTTTGTATAATCAAAATTAAAAATATATTAAAAACCGAAAATAATCGAAAAAAAAATTCCTGATAAATACACCTAAATATAAGAGATAATCAATTTACCGGTAAATGTCGCTACAATTCTTATGAGTTATATGCTAATGGCAGCTAAAAACATTTGGATTTTTTTTTGCTCATTAATAATTTTTATGTTTTTCTGACAAATCACTATGTGTAAAATGGTAAGAAAACAATGACCTTTTCAAAATTTTTAGAAATTGTAAGAAAAAGTAATCTATTTTAGATATATGAGCTTTTCATACATTAAAATGAAGTGCGTTATCCTCTGTACTTAATCTTACTTGTAAATTGTTTATTTATGTTTAGCATATATGTCTCCTACCCCTGTGATGACAGAATTATATTTGAAATCTTTCAACTCTTCTAGTGTGTCTGATGAATTAACCAAAAGAATAACAAGCGTTATTAGCTGGTATGATTTTACATTTTTCCTAACCAAAGGAAGAAGTATCAGAAAAGATTTGACTTTATTACATAGTTTCACTATGTCTGTAAGTTATCAATAGAAAGTAATAATCTTGACTTAAAACCATATAATATCAATGCTTTTATTTTTGAATGAATTTCGAGCATAAGGATTACTGAAGTGATTTATAAATTATTTCTTTTAATGTGGATTGTTTAAAATTAAATTTGTCTTTTGGGCAATCGAGATTTTAATTCATGTGCACATTTTATTGATATAATCTCTTTCGTGTCATAATCCTTTCTTGGCAAAAACTAAGGCAGAATGCCAAATAGAAAAAAAATGCTGAAAATAGTAAATTAAAATAATTTTCTTATTGAAAATAATGCATTTACAGAGAACTATTATTTCATTCAGTTCAATTACTGTGTTATAAAAAAGGGATAAAATAGTAATTACATAAACGCATGACCTAATATGGTCAAGTACCCAGTCCCATTTTTAGGACTCAATATTTTACATATTTATTGCCGTAGTGAAAATGCCAGGCCAGACGACGTGGAAAGCATTGAGCTGTTACCCCTTTTATAAAACTTCCACATCACTATCAACGAAGAAACTCGACAGATTTAACGTGAATCTAGCAGCGTATACATACCGATTTATTTGTCAGCTGCCAGGATCGAACTTATTACCCCAGCTTCAGCCGACTCCGTCATCGAGGTGCTCAAACAACAGTTAAAATAACTATGTAATTATTTATCTTAATTATGTAAGGCAAATGGGTTGATGTTTTAATCTAATTTACTCCTATATTTTAATTTGAGACTCATGGAACCTCATACAGTTTTCGTAGACCCTTTCATTTTGCGTACAGAATGCAAATTATTTAGATATTATGTATCCAGTCCATATCTAAACAAAACACCATTTTATCCGAAGTCTTTTGCATTTATTTACAACTGACGAGTATATTAATAATTGGAAGTAACAACTACAGCATTTGTTAATTCTGATTGTTATATATAAAAATACTATCTGAGTAATTAAACTAATTCGATGAAAGCATCATCAGTGAGAGAATATTTTTTTTTTTACATTTGTTATTGAAACATATTAAGAATGAAAGAAATTGTGGCCTGTTGTAGCGGGGTGAGAATATTCATAAAAATAATATCCATAGCGAAATAGTTTTGCATAAGTTTCTGCAGTGGGAGAGTGAATAATGTTATAATGTTTTTCTAATTTCAGTGACATCATAAAAAAAAAAAAAAACTGTTTAGGATACCAACTGCTGATTGACAAAAAAAATAGTAATATAGTTTTAGAATTGCCAGTTTCTGTTGTTGGACTAATACCAATGAAGCCGTTGCTGTAGTTAATCATAAGACAATACTGGAATAATTGCGGAACAATCATACCAATGTTGTTTTAGCAGAATTGAACAAGATTCAAATTGGTCAGTTATTATACTATTGGACAGAAAATAAAAAAACATGCTAATAAATTTTTAAGAATTGTTACTTCTGAGAAATGTCAATGATTATATTTAGAATATAGCAATGTATGATGCCAGACATGTATTAGACTATTCAAAAAAATATATTTTGCATATTATTGAGAAATGACATGAAGTTATTACCCCTTGGAAGAAAATGCTCATTAGTCCATCTAAATTTATCAAGTGAGATATTTCTTACTGTTAGTTAATAACAATGTTACTCCATTGTTGTATTTTCTTTTTCCAACTATTTCTTCCTTTTATTCTTTGTTTCTTCTTTTCAGTTTTTCTTTCTTTAAATTTTTTCTTTCTATTCTCTCTTTCTTTCAATTTTTTCCTTCTATTCTTTATTTCTTTCATTTTAATTCTTTCTATTCTTTAATTCTTTTTTCTGTTTCTTTCTTATTATGTTTTTACAGAAAAAGTATTATGTGTTGTGGGGACAGTAGTTATCGACAATGCCAACATTCATCTATGAATGGCATATTTCTTACTGTTAGTTAATAACAATTTTACTTCATTGTTGTATTTTCTTTTTTTAATCATTTCTTCTTTTTATTCTTTGTTTCTTTTTCTTTTAGTTTTTCTTTCTTTCAATTTTTTCTTTCAATTATTTCCTTCTTTCAATTTTTTCCTTCCATTCTTTATTTCTTACAATTTTCTTCTTTCTATTCTTTAATTCTCTTTTCTGTTTTTTTCTTATTATGTTTTTAGTGGGAAGAGTAGTTATCGACAATGTCAGCCTTCATCTATGAATGGCATATTTCTTACTGTTAGTTAATAACAATGTTACTTCATTGTTGTATTTTCTTTTTTTTTGACTATTTCTTCCTTTTATTCCTTGTTTCTTTTTCTTGCAGCTTTTTTTTCTTTCAATTTTTTCTTTCTATTCTCTCTTTCTTTCAATTTTTCTTTCTATTCTTTATTTCTTACATTCTATTCCTTAATTCTTTTTTCTGTTTCTTTCTTATGTTTTTACAAAAAAGCATTATGTGTTGTAAGGAGATTAGTTATCGACAATGTCAGCCTTTATCTATGAATAGGCATCCCACCATAGAGCCGAGTCAACGTGCCTTATATACCAGTGAATTGGAATTACATTTTTGCAGTGGTAGATACACTACAGTACAACCCCACCAGAACTATATCTGTGATAAAATTCGACGAACGGATACCACTAGTTGATTCATTTTTGTTTTGTGAGAAGCCAGAAGAGCTGTATTAAGATCACCGCACTTTTTTAGTGCTGATCGGGTGAGCTGTATTAAGTTCACGGTCGTGGTCGCTCCTGTGTTGCCTATAGCAGTCGAGTGTACACGTTGTGTGTGATTGGTCGGATTTTATCGAGATTGTGAAGCAACAGCGTCAGGAGGACAATGTCTCAGTTACAAGCAGCAAGTCAAATGTGAAATGTAGACCCTCCATCGAAATAGGCGTGCTCAAATCGTAGTGAGGGTTTCTGCCTCAGTAGGCGTGTTCACATCACGTAAGAAGGTCACCAATGTGGGGATAGCAGTTATCGACAATTTCAACTTACATCTATAAAAAGGTACCCCGACATAGAATCGAGTAAACATATCTTATATACTAGTGAATTGGAATTACATTTTTGTAGTGGTAGATACACTACTCGTGTTAATAATATTAAGCAGTAACTTGAATTACAGTGATTTATATGAGATTTCGCTTATTCATTAGGTTATTCAAGAAAGAAAGAAAGATATGTTGAGAGGGGAAATTGAAGGAAGAGATAGAAAGAGGAAACCTTTAATGGATCTATTGCTGCAGCACCACATCGAAACAAAAGAACTTACAGAAAAAGACATCAGAGAAGAAGTCGATACTTTTGCATTTGAGGTATATGGGTGAATACAACAATTGTTATTTTTTCTTTCAGTACACATTTATTTTCTTAAAATACACCGTAATTCCTTTTACACAAACTGCAATCTTCCTTTACTAGTAAATATCAGTTGTTGCTACATACAGGGTATTCTGAAAAAAAAATGTTTTAATAAATTTCGTACACATAGTGTTAAATACGTAGAGTACTTATAGTTTAAAATAAAATAAAATTGCACATTATTTGTAGTAAATTATATTTAAGAAAAAAAAAGGAATTCAAAGCTCAACCAATCAAAGATTTAAAACAGTCACATATTTACACCTAAAAAATAATCATTACACACGGAGAAAAAAATTACAGTACTGAAGCAAACTTACAGTACTGAATAGTAATGACATTTCTTGAAAAAAAAAACTTGATTGTTTTCTTTAAAACTATGTAAAAGGGCGTAAGAAAATATTTCCACATGGTCATCTTTCAACGAATATTCTTTTATGTATTTTTTATTTCGCTAAATGTGGATGGAAAAAATTCTGCTTGTAAAATACTTCTTCGTCTAGCATGTCGATGGCTTTAATAACAGCCACTCACTCACTTCAGACGTAAGACCGACATCTTTTTTTTCTCTTCTCAAGTACTTGAATAAAACGAGCATTGAAACAGAAATAACTACAAATATAGAAACGTGCACATAACAAATATAGAAATTGAAATATTTTAGACTATAAAAACTGAAAAAGAATAATTATGATATTTTATTTCATTCCTGCTTATTTCGAATCTAACCTAAACATTAAAAATGATCATTACTAAATATATCATGTCAAGTATGAAATCATAAAAATTTTTACATTTATAAATTAAATACACTTAATGAACCGGATCAAACTATGGTAAAAAGTACTTGCGTCCTAATTATCGATACTTTTTAATATGAAATTCATTTTTGTAGTAGAATTTTGCGGAACGAAAAATCTGATGCACTGCAATTTTACTGTAATGTTTATTGTAAAATAACTGAATCATTCTATTTAACCTTACTGCAAAAATAGGGTTTAAAGTTTTACAAAAAAAATGAATTTTACGGATGCTGCAAGAGTGTCAGCACTTTTTACTGCAATTTTATCAGGAATTTTTTTCAGTGTGCATGGATGAATTCAAAACTAGCATTATTTCTTTTTAAGGGTCATGACACAACATCTTTAGCTATGACTTGGGCTCTCTACTTTATTGGCCTCTATAAAGATGTACAAGCAAAAATTCACGAGGAACTAGATCAAATATTTGGCGATGACAAAGAGAGGCCAGTTACAGCAGAAGACCTGAAATATTTAAAATATTTGGAGTGTGTACTAAAGGTAAAATAGATTAAGTTATATTAATAACAGTCATGGTGGCTCAAGGGATAAAGCGTCAGCCTTCCAACGAGGTGAACTGGGTTCGAATCCCAGCGATGTCTGGGCGATACGAATTAAGCACCCAGCTCTCACCAAAATGGTACTGTGGTAAAATACCTTCAGTAGTAGAAGGATCATGAGTTAGACTTTCCTTGCCATCCCGCTAATCGTGGGAGGCCTTCGTGGTTTTCTTATCCATGTAATGAAAGTAACGGGTTAGTTCCACCAAAAAGTTCTCCAAAAAGGCAAATTTCATCTAATACTTGATCCTGGAGTTAAATCTGGAAAGGAATTATTTTCGGTTTTTGTTCACGTTACATATATAAGTTGTTTCGTAATCCTCATGCTTAATGGAAATTTTTGGAATTTTTGCCAAAAATGAAGTTAAAGTACTACGCGCTGTCGTTCGCATGTTGATATTCAGGCAATGAAAAAAAAATTTAAAACGCTACTGAAAATTGTCGAATCATTAGTGATAAAGGGGCAAAGAAAACTTCAAAACCAATTTCATTGATATAAAATTTAAAAATGAATCTGAATTCGATTTTCCTTAAACATTTGTTTGTTTGTTTTTTCACTTAAATATCAATCTGTAGTTCTTGGCGTGTTTATTTTTTAAATTCATAATAGGCAATGGTTCAAAAAATGTACATTATAGGTGGCCGTTGGGGATGATTCTGAATAAAATATAATTAAATAGATTATTTTATGTTATAACCGTCATTGAACAGCCAACAAAATTTTGGATCTACGACTACTAATGTTCAACTCCATAGACTTGCAATTTTGAACGCAATCCAGAAGACAAGCGAACTCCTATATAAAGTATTGGGAGAAATTTACCTTCGTGGAGGACTTTTTGATGGAACTAACCCGCATTTGCGTTACATGGAGAAAAAGTTTACGAGAACCTCCCACGGATAGCCTGATGGCAAAGGGACTCTAACCCACGATCCGTCTCTACCACTGAGGATATTTCACGTCAACACTGTGGACAGTGCAAGCTTAATGCTGATTTGTATCGACCAGCCATCGCTGGCATTCGAGCCCGGTTCACCTTGTAGGAAGGCGAACGCTCTATCCTCTGAGCCACTGCTGCTCTCACATAGATAATTAAAATAATTACATTGATGTCTACATTTACTACATGTTTTTGGCAGGAATCTTTGAGACTCAATCCATCTGTTCCTGTTATTGGACGCAAAGCAGATAAGGACATGGCGATTTGTAAGTTACATAATTTTTTAATATTCTTTATGTAATTTATTTTAAGTTTTCATTGCCTTTTTTTCTATTGCTTTTGTTCACAAAATCAGCTCATATTCTTTAGAATTTTTTAAGATATTTGCGTTGCTTTCCTTCGAGTGATATGTCAATTGAAACTTATGTGTTTTAAAAAAAATTCAAAGCATGCAAGTTAGTTTTGATTTTGCCCCTTTTTTTATACAGAGAATACCTCTTATTTTTGAAATTTTTTAAAGAAATTTGCATTGCTGTTATTCTAGTGATAAGTCTATTGAAATTTATGTGTCTTATAATCATTTAAAGCCTATAAGTTCGTTATGATTTTACCCTATTATTTCTTTTCTTACAGACAATCTTATTCTTTGATTTGTTTTTTAAAAAAATGCCTGTTTATCATTCTGAAGAGAATTCTATTAAAATTTATTTGATTTTAAAAATCATTCAAATCACAAAAGTTCGTTTTGATTTCATACTATTATTTCCTTTCTTACGGAGAAATGCTCCTATTCTTTGCATTTTTTAAAGCAACTTGTATTGCTGTTATTCTAGTTATAATTCTATTCAAATTTATATGTTTTAAAAATCATTCAAAGCACAAAAGTTCGTTTCGATTTTAGTATTTTCTCTAAAGTTAAATTTTGTGCTGCACATTTTCTGAGGATAAAAAAATTTCTGCCTTCCAAATTTCTGGGGATAAAATTTTTTTTTGTTCTTATCAAGAGGGTAATATGTTATTATCGGTTCTGTGAGAATGGGGCTGTCTTTTCTTCATAGGCAGTTATAATTTCCGAAATTCATTTAAGCAAACTATTTTTTTATATTTAATTTTGTTATCACAGCTTAATTTCTCTTTTTCATGTTAGAACAGGAAAATAATGATCACATACGTGCGTAAGTTTTCGATGTTAATGTAATTGTAAGTGAATGCGAAAATAGTTATCTTTCTAGTATTTTGTGATATCTTTTATTTATTGTTATTGGTAAATAGCGGTAGAAATAAAAAGAGTAAAAATGACTCATCAAGTAGGTGAGTTTGAAGCCGGCTAAGTGCTTCTGAGAGAAGCATTTCGAGGACGTTTACTTCCTGTGCACTTAACATAACAAAAAATGTCCTCTGAATAAAACTTTTTCCTTATCAATTATTCATTGACACCATCTCGAAGAAAAGTAATAAAATGTATTGTTATCTGCTCTGAATTGTAACACTGTAAATTTAAATAATATGTATGTCATGGGCAATGCAAATAATTGGGCATTGCTTATAATGCCCAGGAAATTTAAAAAGTGCCCAACAGGATATGACAAAATGATAAATTATGTTGCAATTATTACATTGCCCGGTCATTATGTATAATGCTAAAAGTCAAGTGGGCAATTTGTGTCACACACAGCCACAGGGTGTCTTGGGATATTCATCCACTTTTAGATGCACCTGGATAATTTTTTTCTTCTTCAAATTTTTTCCCGCACATGCGCTGTATAAAGCAACTACTTCAATTACTCTTATCTGGCGCAGTTTTTATTATTTTTTTTTTAATTTTAAAGCAATAATTTCGGTATCAGTTTAAAATTGATAGGAACGCTTTGTTTAATTTTTTTTTAAATATTTAAGCTATAGCAAAAGTGGCACTAGACCTAGTATATATTTCGGACATTTACCAAAGGTCTAGTCAAACTAGGTCTGGTTAAGTGCCATTGCCCGGTATATCCTACACTGATGTTTTTTTAAGGTCAAGTGCTAGTGCCCGGTATACCCTACACTGATATTTTTTAAGGTTCAGTGCCACTGCCCGGTATGCCCTACACTGATGTTTTTTTAAGGTCAAGTGCCACTGCCCGGTATACCCTACACTGATATTTTTTTAAAGTCAAGTGCCATTGCCCGGTATATATTTGCCCGATACTCCAAACACTGATGTTTGTTCTAATCTATCGTCAGTAAGTATTAAAATATCGAATAAATGTAATTATATCCACGAATAAATTAGTATCAAATTGGATGTAATAAATATTTCGGACATTCACCAAAGCGACTAATTTGATTGTCAACATTCACCGGTGAACATTGGCCAGCCAGAATCACACCACACGCACGTGGCTGTCCCATTGCTGTCAATTAATCAAAGTGACCAAAGAAATAATAGCGATATTTATAATGACCGGGCAATGTGAGAAATTATCGTAAAGTAATTCAAATTTATCAAATTGCCGAATTTTAATGGTCATTATTCATAATAACTAAGCATTATGAATACTGACCTAAATAATTACATTGCCCGTAACATATACATTGTTCCGAAATTCATTTATAATGTTAATAATTATCTGTTAAGTATAGTAGAACGTCATGACGTATTTATCTTGTTCCTATTTGAGAACAGGTGCTTCTTTATGTGTTTATGAATGTAGCAATCTCTTTTAGCCATTTCTTATCGCCAGACATAAGTTATTGTTGAGATAAGGAACAGAAATCAAATGTGGGAGTATCACTTCATAATGACTTTTGATTGTAGCTATCGAGACATCTTTTATATCATAACTGTTGTTTTTAATAAAAATGAAGCTCATTTTATAAATTAATTATTTGACATCCAAGAAGTTTCGTTGAAAAAAATCATGGAGATATGGGTTAAATTTAATTTTCGTCTCAAATTTTACCAATATTTGTTTGCAGTTAAGTTCTTATCCAATTTTTAAGAAAATAAATATATATTAAAATTAATTTCGCATATAGTTGAGTATAATAAATGGGATTGTAGGTTTGAAAAAGATGTATTTATTAAAATATGCAATATGCGTTTGATTTAAAGGCTTCTGTCGTCATGTAATTCGAAATTTAAGTCAACAATTTCAGGATTATAAGTTATATATTTTTTCATTTATCCCCTTCAGACCCAAAGTACCCATTAGGAAATACAGGGAACCAACAACCTAGGAAAATTAATGAGTGGTAACGAAATTTTCCCTACACGGCTTAAAAAATCATAATGTTATCTTCCATTTATTTTCATAAAGTCAGTTTTCAAATTTTCACACCACTATAAACAAAAGGAAAATATTTTTAGCAGATTTGAATACTTCAAAGTATGTATATTTTTTATAATTTAACTACCACTACAAAAAAATTTCCAGATCATGCTTTGGACGCACTATATCTGGTCTGATGAGGATAATTATTGAAATAGAGCACATTACGCTCTAAGCTATTTGTGNTATTTAATTAGAATTAAAGATTCCGAATTCGAAAATTCCACTTTACTAAATAATTAAATATATCAGCTTTAAATAATTTAATTTTATTCAAGTCTTAACACAAGCTTATCATTGGTTTATTGTATTTATTTTTTTTAAATGTAAATTGATCATTTACAATGCCTTGCTTAAGTAGTCAACTTAGACAATTGGTCAAATTATAGAGGAAATATGTGGTTGCTTTTTAAAATATCTTTTCTTATATCCTGATATTATATTAATGTTCATATATTTCTTACATATAATCCGTGACATAAAAATAAACTGAAAAGCATGACTTTTGTTTTAACAAGACTTTAAATTTTCATCAAGCTATCTTAAAAATAACCATTAATTACCAGATTGGACTATAATTTGTTACACAACTTAAATATTAAGCTTGAAATAAAATAAATAATATGTAAGTTTAAAAAAACAAATAATACTATTTGTTGATGATGCGTGTAAGACTTGATTATAAATAATTTCTTAAAATATTATTATTCAAGAATATATGTGCATTTAGAAAGCTTAATAGTGCTTTATGCATTACAATATTTTGAGCGTAGTTTTGATATATACTTACATGACAAAATCCATGAATGGATTTTACAAATGATCAACTCAGACAGAGGTTTAAGTTAGCTTTTAATTTATTTTCAATGATACAGTGAAATTCTAATATCTAATATAATGATACAGAAAATTTCTCCGAAAAAGTTTTTTTTTTCTGGTCATCTTATGTAGAGACTAGAAAAACACTTAGACAAAATTTACCTATTTCATAGGTCAACATACAAGAAAGACAAGTCGTCAGGTTTCGCAGATTTGAACCTTTTATTATGCAAGATAAATCCGGTTCTTGATAAAGTAGGTCGATTTGGGATGGTGGTCAACTTACAAGGATGGTTAACTTAAACAACTGGTCAGTTTACAAGTATGATCAATTAGATAGGTTTAAGGATTAACTATACTACAGTTGATACAAACTGAACATAAATTGAAACAACATTATTTTTCACGTTACAGTTATAAAATTTTGAAATTTCCTATCATATTTGGAATATTTCTCAGAGCAGTTGCCTTAAAAAAATTCAATTGAAACACTGTAAAAAATTTCGGATTAAATTTCAGCAAAAAGTACCGGCACTTTGGGTGCATTATCCGTAAAATCCGTATTTTTTTTTTACCATAATTTCATTTTACCGTAAAATGCATTTTTACTGTCAAATATTATACCGCGATTTTTACCGTAGTATTTATTTCATTCGAGTGAATCAGTGGCTTTACGGTAATTATTAATGTAAAAAGTACTTAACATCAGATTTTTTATTCCGCAACATGTTCCAGTAAAAATAAATTTTACGGTAAAAATTACCGCCACCCTGGGTGCCGGTGATTTTTAATTTTACTTTTTACCGTAATTTAATCCGGAATTTCTTGTAGTGAAGAAGTTCTTTCACCATAGAAATATACTGAGATTTAAGAAATTTTTACTTCTTGTTATATCTTTAAAAAAAACTACATAATTTGTAATAGGGTTAATACATAAATCTAAACTATTTTTTATCATCTGTTTCATTTTACTAGCTTCTCCTTTCCTTTTCCCCTTTGGATTCCGCTCAATATTTAAAATGATTGCAACTGACACTGCTAATCATAGAAATTTATAATACAGGTGGTTATCCCATACCTAAGGGTGCATCCCTCATTATATGCCCATACATGATGCACAGAAATGAAGAATTTTTTCCCAACCCAGAAGTATTCGATCCAGATCGTTTTACTCCAGAAAATTCTGCTCATCGCCATCCATACGCGTACATTCCTTTTTCTGCTGGGTCACGAAATTGTATAGGTATGTATTACCATTTAAGTAAATATATCAGCCAATTACAAGCGAAGTTAAAATGATATTTACTACACTATTAAATAACTCTGTAATCGTCAAGTTGATTGACATTCGTAGTAAATATGATGCTTGCAATTAATATAACAAATGTAATACATACATAATCCTTATGCTATATAGTTATTATTTGTAATTGTCGTTCGATATTGCTAGTATTCCCGGTTACAATTCTTAAATTATGATTGCATATTACCGATTAAAACTGAAGTTGGCAATTATGGTTTCTTTTAGTCACGGTTAGAAGACCGGCCTGTGTAGGGATTAGAGAATTGGCTTTGTATCAGAAAGGTTCTGGGTTTGAATCCCGGGCAAGGCATGGATGTTTTTTCATGCTCTGTACTATCTGTCCTTACTGAGGAAGCAACGTTGGTCCACCTATAAAAAAACATGACGTAAACATGTAACATGGGGCCACTAAAGGAGAGTGGCCAGCAAATCCGCCCTTCAGATGCCTGTATGATGAAAGGTTTTTCCCCAGATGAGCATTGGAACAATAAAACGTAATCACGGTTACAATTATAGTTATAGTCCTTGTATTCCATAGCATTGTACTCAACTCATGTAATCAATTACATTTTGCCAATCTGTAAAAACTAAAATAGCAACTTGTCGATGCTATTATATAAATTAACTATTTTTTTTAATTTACAAACAGTATAGGAAGTTAATGAATAATAATAAATTATAGAATAATAATAATGTATAGAATAATAATAATGCATAGAATAATAATAAATTATGGAATAATGATATATTATTCAAATTAAGTTAATGTGACATGTTCTTCTTGGGTTATTTTTTATTATTGACGGAACATAAAGAACTAAAAATAATATTTACAGTTATTAGTTTTACATCCTTATCAGTTAGTTTAATTTAGAGACATACTTTATAAGAGTTTAATGTAAAGGAATATCATTTCATTAATTATATTTGTTATTGCTATTCCAGGTCAAAGATTTGCTATGATAGAAGAAAAAATAGTTGTAGCAAACATCTTGAGAAATTATTCTTTAGAATCTTTGGACCCTAGAGACAAGGTCTTAAGCACTCTTGAACTTATTTTGCGACCTCTGGAGGAAGTAAGAATAAAGTTAAGACGTCGATAAAAGTGCTTGGAATTTGCATTGTTACTGTGTATAGAATGAACCATATAGCAACTAATAAATTTTCTTCTTTCTCTATAATGACTCAAATTTAATGTAATTCAGTTTAGAATCCAAGGTTGTGAAAACAGAAAGTTATCCTTCGGCAGGGTACTAGACAAAAGTTAAAGTACCAAAATTTTCGCCGAAATTAAGGATTGATATTTTAAAGCTTTCTTTACCAAAACGTTTGAGTACCTTAAATCTAAGATAAACTATGATTTTAAATGAAATGTATTATCTCACAGTAAAAATATTGCTTCGACTTTAAAATGGACGGAAAGCAGAATACTATAGATTTTATATATATATAAAAAATAAAAAAAAAACTATCTAATATTGCGTGATTTTCCTACCTACAAGAAATTTACTAAAAATCAATGAATAATTCTCAACTTATGGATATTATGAGTCCACGCAATCAAGAATTGGAATTACTTTTTAAGTCGTATTTTATTTTTGTTTTATGGCCGATGTTGAACAGCTTACTTGATTCTGAATTGTTCAACTCCAAAGCCTTGTAAATTTGAATTCAACTCAGAAGGCAAGAGAACTCCTGAGATCAAACATTAGAGGAAACTAGCTTTTGTAGAAGACTTTTAAATAGGACAAATCCTCATTTGCGTTATATGGAGATGAAAACCACAAAAACCTGCAGCGGGTAGCCCAGTTGCAATAGGATTCTAACACATGATCCGTCTGCCATTGAGGATATTTTGCGTCAACACTGTGGTCAGTGGGAGCCAGGAGCAGAATTCGTATCAACCGGACACCGCTGAGATTCAAACCTAGGTCACCTTCTTGGGAGGTAATCGCTCTATATACTGAGCCACTGTGGCTCACCAACAACGTATTAAAAAAATAAACTAATAGCGCTTTTCATAGTAACAGTTTGAGCCATTTTAATTATTCGCTTAGAGGGTACTGTAAAGATTCACACAACTTAACAGCCATGAATAACTGTTATGATCTTATAACAGTAATATGAAAAAACATGTTATTCCATAAAACGCCTTATTTCATATGTGAACCTTCGAAGAACATCCTTAAGAAGAAGGATAGCTTTAAACTTAGATAATTGTCTTGAATCTTTACGAACAAATCTTCAAAGTTCTTTTTTTTTCTTATTTATTTTGTCCGATTCAATTATAATAAAAATATGAGTGCACCATGATCAAATAAATCTAATAATGACGTTGTTCAGTAGTGTTCTCAATAAATTCAAAGGATTCAAGAAAATTAAACTTTAATCACCACTAACACATGATAAAAGACATATGTCTTATGGTAGCGCGCGTGATGCTCTTTTGATCATTGTCTCTGCTACCAGAAGAGGGTTTCCTTGAGGCTTGAGCAATAGTTGATAAACAATTCGATTGTAAAGAGTATCGACTCGCTCCAACGTATTATTCAAGTGTTGATGCTGAAGTCTTCGCGATTTAAAAAACAAACAAACTCTTCTCAGCTAACGGATGAATTAAAAAAAAATAATAAGTGACACTTTTCTGGGCATTTATGTTGTTGTCAGGGCTCGAAAGAACTCAGAAATTGTACCAGTCCCCGAGGACGGCTTGTTCAACAATGTACCCGTCCTCCTTTGAAATTAACCCGTCGCTTCTAAATAAACAAAAATATAATTTTCTCTTATTTATTACAAACATTTATATAAATTACACAGTGAATTAGTATTTACTAGGATTACAAATACTTGGATTACATTATACAGTAATATGCATTACATTATATAGTATATACTAGGTTACTCATAGTAACCTAGTGTTTCTTTTATGAAATAATTTATTTCTATTATGAAATAATTTAAATGACAAAGGTCAAGTTATCTGTGTCAATTTATCCGAGGTTACTGTGCGTTTATTAAATGAATCAAATATGACGTTTGCCAGTTCCACAATCAAGCCAATAATTTACTGAGGTTTCTGCACAGAAATCAGAAAGGGGTTTTCCATTAGGTAAATGTTCATGATTGCGTTTATAACGCTACTTGTTTAAGACCAGTACGTGATGTGTTTTTTTGTAAGTTCATTGCTGAAAAGCCCCTTTCAACAGCTGCGGTACTCCCAGACAGAGAAAACATCAATTCCACCATAAGCAGTATGTTGCTGTATATCTAGATTAGAGGGTCATTTTAGAAGTGAGGAGCTAGACTCTTGTATAATAACAAAAATTGAAAATGTATCACGAACATTAACGGGAAAATGGCCGTCCGCGCGGACGTCGGATTCGAGAAATTCGTTGTCCGCGGGGAATTTTCGACCGCCGAGGACGGGCGGTTTTTCGAGCCCTGGTTGTTGTAGCTGCAGTTTGACGTCATACTAGAGCTTCACAGTTGGCTATTGGCTACTGTTTGGGAAACATCCTCGAGGATGATCCGAAGACATGCCATCGCAATTTTGATCCTCTGCAGAGGGGATGGCAGCCCTGCTTCGGTAGCCCGATGGCCTGCGTTCGAAGTAGAGCACTTTGCAGTAAAACAGTTTAGCGAAAACCAATACCGCACACCCTCGATCCCTTCGTAAACTGATCCAAGTGGTCGCCCACTCGCTTACTGACCACAGCCAGTTACATTTCACTTCGGTGACCAGCTGGAAACCGTGTCTTAATAATCTGTCCACTGCAGGATCTGGGCATTTATGATTTTAAAAGTGTAAAAGTGTTATGATTTTAAAAGTGTAAGATAACAAGTGGAGTTACAGTTTCTTTTTTTAAAAAAGAAAGAAAAAAGAAAAAACTTCCTGTGTTAACATTTTTTAAACTTTTTTAGCAAATTTTATTCAAAATCCTCTTGAAATCATCTTAAAAAAGAATGCACTTTTTTAATCTATTTTGATTAAAAAAAAGGAAAGGTCAAAAGACCTCTTCTGTCGCTATCGAATTGGGAATATGATCCGAGAGTTATGAATTTAAATATCGATGGCTCAGGGGATTGAGCATTCGTCTTCCAATGAGACGAACCTGGTTCGAATCCCAGTCGATACGAATTCTGCATCCGGCTTACACCGATCACAGTGCTGACGTGAAATATCCTCAGTGGTAGACTGATCATGGATTAGAGTCCCCTTGCAGTCAGGCTAACCGTTGGCAGTTCTTGTGGTCTTCCTCTCCATGTAACGCAAATGCGGGTTAGCTCCATCAAAAAGTCCTCCACGAAGGCAAATTTCTCCCAATTCTCGATCCAGTAATACCCTTGTCTTCTGGATTGGGTTCAAAATTACAAGGCTACGGAGTTGAACATTAGTAGTCGTAAACTGAAAATTCGGTCGGTTGTTGTAATATAAAATTTTTTTTTATTAATAATTGCTATTTATTCAATTTGGCTGTATTTTTCAAACCTTATCAGAATTAGAAAATAGAGCTCATAACATATTAGGATTCTAACATATTTTGTTTCACAAAAATTTTACTGAAACAACTTTGCAAATAGCGTTTTTTTTAAAGGTATTTTAATAATATATCTGTTTTCGATAAAATTAAAATTGTTCGATAAATTTAAAAATTGTTTTCTTTTACATAATTTACATTAACAGATTTTTGAAGCATTTTCCTAATTGGTTTCAATCAGTTGGCACAGGCAGGTATCTTTTGCGTGACTAAAATTGAGTACAAGAATATTCTAGCAATGCAAGAATATTTAAAATTTAGTTCTGCCAATAGCTTTTTCTTTCCGTTACCCTTTATCGGTTCTGTCTCTTACCATTTATTAAGCTGTACTTTTCTACATAATGAAAGAACATTAATATGTATATTTTTTAATATTCCAAATCAATAAGTGCACAGCTGTTTCAGGATTTATGAACAAGAAACATTCCAACCGCCGTTAAAAATTTTATTTGCAACAATTCGAATAATTTTTTTTGGTTTAAATTTTTTTTTTTCAAAATGCAATTCTATTTTGAAAATGAGCCATGTGTTTAATGCTCCTAAGACAACACTAAGTGCTTCATTTCTCATTAAAATACGTTTAAATAAACTATAATGCACTATATCGTAATGCCTTCGTTTTACGACACAACACATTAATTTACCACTAAAACACAAAATAATATTACACGCAAGTAATACGCTAGCAATTTTACCTCGCTTAACAATACAACGATTAATTTAAAATGAAATTATTCTTAAAGTATGTAGTAAGAAGTACGTACGATATCGTGGCGCCATCTGTTTAGTATGCAACAAGTTAATCTACTACTGAAGGAAAATATAGGAAATTCCAAGATTTTATACTATCCTCGATCATCCAAGTAGGAGACCCATCTCCCCTATTTAACGTTGGCTATAAGGAAGGCTAAAAATATAGATTCTCCTACTTGGCTAAAATTATAGAAGAAAAAAAGAACTGTAATCCCATACTTAATTTTAAAAAAATATAAAAAAAGCTATCTTGAGTATTTTATGAAAAACACTTCCTTTTAAAAAAAATTAAAGATGATACTTTATCCTGGTAACAAAAGAAATAAATTACCTACTTTAACAAAACTAATGGATAAAAATTGTAAAAATTTTTAATCAATTAACATATTAAATACTATGTTCAACTTGCACGCAGTACTTATGTAATATAACTGTATACATATACTTATTTATCCCTCCCAAAATGTCTCTTTCGTTTGTATTAAAATGCTTTGACTTAGCCTCTCAAATCATGCGCTTTTAAGAACAATAAATATTACCGTATTTTTTTAAAAAAACGTTTCAACACGTATGTATATATAAAACATTGGAAATCAATGAAATGCATTTTTGTGATCAATCGATAACGGGTTATCCGGTTTACTCTGCGTTTTGTTCTATAGTTTTCAAATATTCCAAGATGAATTGAAATATTTAAAATTTTAATTGACTATAATTAACTGTTATCTTTATAAACTTTTAATTAACGATAAAGTTGAAACTAGTTTTAAACTAATATCAGCATTAGACTAAGGCAGTAACAGTAGTTTTGAAATTCTTGACGGAGTGATACATGCGCAACTAAACTTTTTTATCCAACCTATAATTTAGTTATTTTTTTCTTAACAGAAACTTCCATGGTATATTTTTTAAAAAAATGAAAGAAATTTAAATTTGTTTAAAAATATTCCATTTTAATTAGTATCAATAAATTAAAATATTCATTCAAGTTAATTTAAAATTGAAATACTTAAATTAATATCCAAATTAAAATATTCATTTTGATACTATACGTTTCTAAAATATAATAATAATTAAGATTTGATAATTAGACTAAACGAAAGGTTTTGCATGAATCAGGCTTTTTTCTACTATTATTTATTTTAAGATTATTTTATTACTGATTTATTTTCATTCTTTGACAATATTTTTTTCAGCTTAAGAAAATGACGATTTTTTAAAAATTTAATTTCAATTGTAATCTGCATGTTAATGTAATAAAGCGCATTTTTTTCTCTAGAGTTTCAGCGTGTCTCTTACAAAATTATGTACAGCGTGCAAAAAAAAAAAAGGACCACCTAGAATAATTTTTGATTTTTAATGATCGAATTTTCACATTCTAGGAGGACTCAATCTTAAACGTATGAGGAAGTGACCTCAAGCATGCTAATTTATTAGTGAAGACGAAATTTAAAGTTGCGAAATCAGATACAAAAATTTACTTTCTCTGTATACCTTTTTTTCTCTCGGCGGATTCGGAATTCTGACCCCCAAAATATATACAGAAAAATTGATGTTATGTACAGTGTGTAAAAAAAAAAGGACCACCTGGAATAACTTTTGATTTTTAATGATCGAATTTTCACGTTCTAGGACTCAATCTTAAACGTTTGAGGAAGTGACCTCAAGCATGCTAATTTATAAGTGAAGACGAAATTTAAAGTTGCGAAATCAGATACAAAAATTTACTTTCTCTGTATACCTTTTTTTCTCTCGGCGGATTCGGAATTCTGACCCCCAAAATATATACAGAAAAATTGATGTTATGTACAGTGTGTAAAAAAAAAAAAGAACCACCTGGAATAACTTTTGATTTTTAATGATCGAATTTTCACGTTCTAGGACTCAATCTTAAACGTTTGTAAAGTTGCGAAATCAGATACAAAAATTTACTTTCTCTGTATACCTTTTTTTCTCTCGGCGGATTCGGAATTCTGACCCCCAAAATATATACAGAAAAATTGATGTTATGTACAGTGTGTAAAAAAAAAAGGACCACCTGGAATAACTTTTGATTTTTAATGATCGAATTTTCACGTTCTAGGACTCAATCTTAAACGTTTGAGGAAGTGACCTCAAGCACGCTAATTTATTAGTGAAGACGAAATTTAAAGTTGCGAAATCAGATACAAAAATTTACTTTCTCTGTATACCTTTTTTTCTCTCGGCGGATTCGGAATACTGACCCCCAAAATATATACAGAAAAATTGATGTTATGTACAGTGTGTAAAAAAAAAAGGACCACCTGGAATAACTTTTGATTTTTAATGATCGAATTTTCACGTTCTAGGACTCAATCTTAAACGTTTGAGGAAGTGACCTCAAGCATGCTAATTTATTAGTGAAGACGAAATTTAAAGTTACGAAATCAGATACAAAAATTTACTTTCTCTGTATACCTTTTTTTCTCTCGGCGGATTCGGAATTCTGACCCCAAAATATAGGGGTTAGCAGCAATTTTGAAAGCCTGGTCCCCATAGTTTAGTCAAGAGAGCGCTCCAAAGTTTGGACCCCTTAATGTTAATTTTATTATTATTATTTTTTTTTGTTGCATATTTCGCCATATCTCGCGAACTTTTGAAGTGAGTTGGAAAATTTTTGCGCACAATTATAAAATTCGCTCATCCAGAAGTAATTCCATGCAATAAAAAACTTTTCGCAAATATTTATGATTTTGTTTTATTTTATTTAATACTAGGCTAAAAAATTTTGAATGTTAGGATAAAAATTTTTTACTTCATTTTAAAGGATGTAATTTTGCATGGCAAATTACTAAATTTGAGCGAGATCGGTCAAAATTTTGTATTTTGTCATGTAAAATTACATTTGTTAAAATAAAGTAAAAAATTGTATGCCTTACAATTCGAAATATTTTCGACCATTATTAAATAAAATAATACATATTTACTGAAAGTTATATTCTTCATGGAATTATCTTTAGATAAACGAATTTTATAGTTTTATGCAAAAAATTTACAATTTGTGTTAAAAGGTTTCAGGATATGGTGAAATACGAAAAAAGTAAAATTAACCCAAAGGGGACCAAACCTTGGACCGCTCTCCTGACTACACTATGCGGAACATATTTCCCACATTGCGGCTACCCTCTGTATTTTGGGGGTCAGAAATCCGAATCCCTCAAAACACACATATGTTTATTCAGAGAAAATATGTGTCTGGTTTCGTAACTTAAAATATAGTCTGCACTAATTATTTAGCATATTTGATTAAGATTGAATTCTAGAACGTGAAATTCCGATTATTAGATTAAAAATTATTTAATGTGGTCGGCTTTTTATTTTGAACTCAGTACAGTAAGATGAGCAGTTGAAGTTAAGTGCAGTAAAAAAGAAAACCTACCGGAATAACTTATAGGTATTACTATGGTTCAAGAGGCATAAAATAAATACGTAAAATAAAATAAATACTTAAAATGAAGTTTTGCATTAAAAAGGTATTACACAGGTATTGTTTTTAAAATACTAATTTCTATGTATATGTATTTTCAATTGAAATTTCAATTTTTTATTATCGAAAAATTTTTGCACTATGAGAAATTTTTTGAAAGAGCTGTGACTGCAACAACTATTTTTCTTTATTACAGAAGTAATTTTTAAGCTTACAATGTGTGGTAAATTGCAATATATAACATCGATAACAGAAAAAAAAGTGCGATTTAAATTTATATTAAAATGAATCTGCACGCTACGGTATAAAAATTAGTGATTTTAGCCTCTTAAAAACACACTTGAAAGAAAATGATTTAAAAAAAAAATATAAAGCATAAAATACGCTTTAATTTAAAATATTTTGAAATAATTTGTTTGAGCCTTCCTGTCGGGCAAAGTCTGACGCCATCCTTGAAGTTTTATTTTCTTTCTTACTTTACTAACATGCGCTAACTCTAACTATCAATTCAACCTTTAAAAGAAAATTATACTTTGCATAAATTATACATAAAAGCATTTTATTGTTATCATTTCTATGATAACATATTCAAAGTGGCACGACAAAAAGATAACATTGTTTACTTGCTTCGTCTTTAACTTTCCTATGCAGAGTCACTTCAAAATATATATCAGATTTATCTCTACATAATCTGCTTTCCTGCATGAAACTACTCCCCTAAATTAATAAAGAAAAATATTACTGTTCAAAAACATATAAATTATAAAAACTCATAAAGTTATCTTATAATTTTAATAGTTAAAAGAGACATCTCTGTTGATTTAAATTAATAGCTTATTATTATACTAACACTGCTGACCTTTGCACGTGATCAATTCAAAATAAGTTAGATACTATGTAATTCAACCAATCATCGTGACATAAGATACGTAAGCCCGTGCGTAAATTCAAGGTCTTATTTAATTTAATCATTTTCTACTCCTGTTGTGTATTAAACTAGATATTGTGTCTGGCTGGCGCTGGAGATAGACGTTTCGAATAAAAATGGGAAGTTCAAAATTTTTAGAAATTTCCGCTAAATCTTTGACATTTACGAACGTTGTTTTTACGGCGTTTATTGCTTGGGTGATATTTTCGATTATTATTTTCTTGAAGTATGCTTTTCGAAGAACTAAATATAGTAAAATGGTGCCTTGCAAAAAAGTTGGTTTTTTTAACGTCCTCGGCAACATTGGAGATTTACAGCAGGATAGGTCTAAGTATAATTTTAACACTTGTAAGTACTATTTTTTTTTAATTCTTAATTTATTGTTTTCTTTTTCATTAACTTCTTGTTATTTAATCCTTTACAGAAACACATTTTTTTCAGTAATGTTTAATGAAATGGTTTTGGGGATTGAGATTGATTTATAAAATAAAGTTATTTTCGTTTTGCGTAAAATTTAAATAATTTTATTCAAAATACCATGTTTTCAGGTGGGAAGTATTTTTTGGATTGGTGGGGGGTGGGGTGGCGGAAGATATATGCCCCCCCCTCTACAACTAGAAGTCTCTAAAAGTCCCCCTCAATATTTCAGACAAATAAAGAAAATTTCCATGAGTCAGTAAAAAAATAAATAAAAAAAATAATAATAAATAAAAAAAATAATTAAAATAATTAGAATTTTTTTCCATGTGAATTTTCGAAAACTATTCAGACTGTATATTTTAATTTAGACCCCCGTAAATAATCCCCTTCCTGCGACGTCCTTGAGAAGCAATTCGTATGTAGGGCATTTTATGTTTTGCTTTACTTTTATATGATTATATTTTTTTAAAATTAAATTTGCATTTTTTATTGCATTGCAATAAAAAAAACATGGAAATGATCCATATTCTAAACGTCTTTTCATGCAAATGTATACTTGAGTTTTTCTATGGCAAATAAAAAATAATTATTCCCCTCAAAATATTAATTAATTTTCAAAGAATATTTAAATTTTAATGACTTAAAATTTTCATATATATTTTGTTTATCATAGTTTATTTCATAAATCTTCTTTTTCTTAAGTCATATAATTATAATGTCAATTAAAAAATTTAATTTCAATTGAAAACTAAAAATACCCCTACCCCTTCACTCCTCTGTATGTTACTCTAAACATGTGTTTGCAAAATAGTTGATTTTATCCATCGGTTTTTTTTTTTTTTTTTTTTTTTTTTTTTTTTTTTTTTTTTTTTTTTTTTTTGTATTCTGCATGTATTCTTTATCAGAATACATTCCTTATATTTCACCAACTTATTTGAATTTTTTTGTAGAGTCAATTCCCTTTGTAGAAAATATATTTTTTTCCCTGTAAAGTATTAAAATGTGCACACTACATTTTTCTATTAGTAATACGTCATTACAATATGTGTATTGCTTTTAATTTCTTCCTCAGTTTTCTTTATTGAACTTTTCTATATTGATTTTAGTACTGAAATTATAAAATAAGTATAAGAATTTTGGAGAATAAGTCTGGCCTCTGAAGACTGGATAGAATTTAATTGCATATTGTTTTTCAGATTTATTACAATTAGCCTCTGGCCTAGCGGCTGGATACTTTAGAAAGGAAAAATTATTTTGCTTGTGGCTGTCTTATGCCCCAAATATTATAGTTACAAAGGCTGAAGCTGTTGAGGTATGCAATTTTAATTAAATTTGTTTTAACAAATTTAAGTGACTGTCTATAATGTATCTAACGTTCAAGTGAGAGCAATAAAAATAAATTATCCACGAATTAAAAATGACGTTTTCTAAATAGCACTTTCAAAATTGGCACATATTTCTTACAATTTTTATACGACTCTCTTGAAAGTTTTAAAGCATGTATACAATTAATATAATTTTAGTTACACTTTAGACTTTTTTAGTTCATAGTTAAAGTTAACTTTTTTCCATTAATTTAAATAGACAAAGGAATATTTTTAAAGCCATTTTTTTCAATATACAGCCGTTTAGTTCAAAAATTTTTTCCAGAAAGTTAAAATATAAATGCATCAATGTTATATTATTTAAGTTCGGATACAAATTATGGATTTATGTTACGTCTTATCAGCCATACGAAAAATCTGTTTAAAAATACGAATAATTGGTTTCATTATAAACGAATAATGGAGAACTTCTATCACCATTTAAAATAATTTTATTTTATTTTATGACCGCCGTTGAACAGTCGACCCAATTTGTGGGTGTACGACTACTAATGTTTAATGCCGTAGCCTTGTAATTTTGAACCAATCCAGAAGACAAGGAAACTCCTGGATCAGTACCCCCAGAGGTATTGATTTGTTGTGGGAACATGGAGGACTTTGAGACT